AACAGAGTGGATACAATAAGTTAAATTCTACTTTCTTGCAGACTTCTCAAAGCTCTCATCACACACCATCTTTCTGAACACTCAAATAACATCAGCAAATTATCACATCCTTCCTTTTCATCCAACAGGATGTCATCACTCTCTAGCAGGCARAAATGCTCATTTCCCAACTTTGCTTCCCCATGCTGCCCCCATCGCTCAGCAGGAGTCCCAGTCAGCAATTCTAACAAAGTACCACGTTGCTATAGCAACATAATTAATATAAGTGCACCCTGCTAATTTGGGGATGCTGGTAGCCACAAAGAGCACCACTGTTGGCAGGTCTGTGCTGAGTGCTGATCTCCGATAGCAGAGCTACAATCAAGGCAGGACTAGAAAGAGCTTGAACCTCTCATGGGCTTGCTAAAAATAACACTCACGTTAACACAGCTCCTGAGTGCACAAGTGGATATTACGTGGGAGAAACTCCAGTGGAGGCACTGAAATTACATCGGTGTAATTAACAGAAGGAACAATTTTAAGGGGAAAAAAAAAAAAAAAAAAAAAAAAGAACAGGGATNATCGGTGTAATTAACAGAAGGAACAATTTTAAGGGAAAAAAAAAAAAAAAAAAAAAAAAAGAACAGGGATGAAAATGCATTCAGGCATAACCAGATCTCTCCAACACAAATGTCCTGCTGTGAAAGGGTTTGGGGGAAACCAAGAACGTGCCCAGAGAGGCACAATCCATGTGCCACAGCACTGCTGCCCTGTGCAGTGCAGACAGCCTGCCTTGCACGCTGTTAACTTCCCCTCCACGGTGTCGATCAAACCACCTTCCAGACAGAATTTTTAGAGCATGGAGGCCCTGACAGCCAAAAGTAGGAGGACTGTGATTTCCTCTGAGTCCTCTTTTAGGTGTTACAAGTAGAATCTGTTACTAACAGATCTTGAAAGGGAATGGCAATAGGCCAGGCTAGCTAGAGATGTTTGGGAAATGAACATCCCTATTGCATAACATTGTGAAAACTGAGATTGCTATTTACAGAGTGCTTATGCTGCAAGATCAGAAGCTTTTCCACATGAGATTGTCTGTGTTTCAGTACTCCCACATACAYATTTTGGATTCTCCAAAGATGAAGGAAAAAAAAGCTAATACCACATAGGCCATAAAGAAGGGGCAATCCTGTAAGAAAGAGCAAGAGAAGTTCCCCTTTCCATCACAGCACAATTCCAAATCAACACCTCTGCACTTATGGAAGGATCCAACTGCTGGTCTTGCAGTTCTTGTGTTCTGAACCAGTCACAACAGCCTCCCTCTTTCAATAGCTGTCATCAGAACACCTCAATAGCTGTCATCAGAACACCTCTGGAGCTGAAGAGCCACCAGGAATACCCAGGTGGGTGAACAGCCAGCAGGGACACAGCCACCCTTTGTGGCACAGAAGGAACAAGAAAATGAGATAGGAACATCACATTCACTCACGGAACTGAAAACAGCAGTTCCAGCTTAGACTCTGCCTTGTATCAGAGCCTGCTTACAACAACAGGCTTTATATGAATGTTTTTATACATGACAGCTTTTTGTGAAAGCGTTTGATCAGACAGAAAACAAAGGTTCCTCAACTGAGTAGGAGAGGTTGCACTCGAGTTTCCACAGCATCAGCTGAAGCTGACCTCAARCTGACCTCTACAGTCTCAAGAAAGGGATTGTTCTCTGCTTCTCCCACACATCCCTCACACAAATCCAGGCTGTTGTCTMTGATTTCCTTAGGGAGGTTCCTAATGTACAAAGCAAATAAAAAAAGTAAAAAGCCTTAGCAAGGATCAATACTGGAGACAAAAGTGTGACTGAGAATAAATCATTCTCATGGCTTTGCAGCCTCTTTGTGATAACTGCGATGGGGACAAGTCAATAACTAGCATGAACATYTCTCAGACTTTACTGCAGCACACCTGGGTGATAAACATTATTATCCTCTGCAGAGAGACAGGAAATAGGCTGTTAGGTGAAGTACAGTCTCAACAAGTGCTGATCCACTTAGGGCACTGCAATGGAAGGGCACAGAAACTGGAGGAGAAAAACYGGACCTACAAGGAGAGACTCGAACAGTATTTAGCTCAGCAGAGAGAAAATGATGAAGTTTTGGGGGAGGCAATTGTTATCAAACACGTAAAAGGCTGCTGCAAAGAAAAAATAAACATTCCAGCCTCCAGGTCCTTTGAGGGCAGGACAAATAGTAAAGATTTGATTTTTTTCACTATTTTGAAACTTAGGCTAAATACGAGAAAAAAAGTTTTAAAAGTGAGGTCAGATCAGTGATGAGCAAATTGCCTGGGGAGGCTGCAGAAGCTGCAGAACACATCAGCATCCTAGAAGGGCATGGGTGTGCACTAATGCAAACTGATGCTACCTTCAGGCAGCAGCCTGACCTTCTGCTGTGCTTTCAGTGCAGGATTCAAAGATAAATTCAACCCCTTTGGGGAATCAGCAGGAAACTGAGCTACATCCCTGATRTGCCAGCCTATCTTCATAGCTATGGCACTGCCCCACCAGCCAACAACCAACTSCATCTTCATCTGCCTCCAAAGCATGGAAAGAGAACAGCTTTCCTGCTGCAGKGCCCAGCTGATAAATCCAGAGCTGGCACAAAGGAATAAACATTCACATGTACAYTCCCAGCTGTGATCCACCTGCAGCACACCAGGCTGACAGGAGCAGCAGAACTCAGCTCAGGTAAGATGTAACACCAAGGCACATCCCCATTTCTCCAGTATGAGCCACCTCTCCTGGCTCTGCCTGGCTGACACCCACGGACAGCACAGTGCAGGAGGCTTTGGAAAGAAAGATTAGGTTTGTTACTCATTCTATTGTTGTTCTGCTACCCTTTAAAGTCTAGTGAACTTTATCTTCAAGGGCAAACTATCAAGCAGATCAAACAGAGAAGGAAAACAAAACCATACCTGAATTAAGGACTTTTTTTAAGGAAGGCATGATACTTACAGGCTTCACATTTTTGGGTAAGATTTAAGTTGCAAATTACTTTCACGTGTTTTGCTTAGCTTTTGCATTTTGATCAACCTACATGATTTGCATTTTCCCTTTTTGGTTTGCTTGCCAGGGGTTAGCATTGTGTGAGTAATGAGAACACTACGCAATGGTTAAGGAAAAGGACTTCCCAACTAGAGAAATAGTCAAGGATGAAAAAATCTCTTTGTGTAAATAAATCTATCGCAGATTCAAGATGAACAGGATGATTTGCTTAATGCACACACACAACTGAAACATGACAGCCTACAGACACAAAGACCTACCAAGAGGCAATCTACTCYCTCCTCTCCACCTCCATCTCCCGCTGGCAACCCTGTAATTCCATTATCCACAAAAAACCCAAAAAGTACCAGCACAAATGGCACTGCAGGATTTCTGTGGGAGTAATGTACAAATCTCTTTTTCAGTCTGTAAAGCTCTGAATTTGAGTGCTCAAAAATACCTTGGAGGTGAGCACTCTGGAGCAGAGCTCCTGGATGTCACCCTCAGCACTTCCCTTAAAGCCACAGAGCCCAGTAGCACTGCAGCCTGAGCTGGGGCTGACAGGAAAGCTCTTGTGTGAGCMAGCAGTGTCACAGGACACAGTTCCTGCCATGAGGGATTCTCCTCTGGCTCCATCTCTCCTGATCTCGGCTCACTCACACAAAGTGGTCAGACCTAAGGCTGTCTGTTCCTTGCCTCRGTGTTTTAGCAGGCTTGGGAGTTTCCTGGAAGCAAATATGGATTAATGGAGTCCGGAGTTGCTTTTCTTTCTTATGAGGATCTACACTCCCTCGGTGATGGTGAGAAAGGAAAAGGAGTTCATGTATCTGCTGTCCACTTCCCTCCTGTACCTCTGTGCTTGGGAAGCAGCACAGAATTGTGCACACACCCAGAGGGACAGGGAGCATTAAGTGATGCTGAGGTGACAGATTAGCTCAAAGGACTGACAGCTAATGGGGCCTGCTTGCTCCAAGCACTTTCCATTGCCCACTATTGACCAAACGATCCCTGCTCCTGCCCAGGGTGGATAATCAGTGCGTCACTCCCATAAATAGAAGCRTATCCTGCACTGAAACACTGACCTAATATTTTCTAATAGTTACAAGACCAGACTTGGTATTCTTTAGCCAAAGGTCAGTTGCTCCCTGAAGTGTATTATTTAAAAGGAAATCAATAATGTTTAAGTTTCTGARCAAATGGAAGGGTGAGCTTGGTTTATCCTGGCAGTGGCAGAAGGAGCACAGTGGCATTGCAGGAGGGTGGAAGGACAGGAGAAACACTAAGATTTACTCACAGAAAAAGCCATTCAGCCATACTGTATTCAGTGTAACAGTACATGGAATAGATGATCTGAAGACTCCACACTGCTTTGTCCAACAAAGCCAACAGGAATTTAGTTTTTATACTTATTTCACAGAGGTTTAATACACACATACATACACTAAATTGCAAGCCAGCGCCAAGCAAAAACTTGGCCATTCACTTGGGAGAAAGTAGTTTGATGTATGGCAGGTTTTTACACAGTAGAAACACACAATCCCAGCAAGGGCCACCTCTTCATGTCAGTGACAAAAAACTTCCTCACAAGGGAAGATGGGCAGGGTACACAGTGCAAAGACAAAGCCCRGCTCATCTTGATGGATGAGTGTCTCATCTTTGCACCATGTAAAGCCAGAATGTAAAAGCAGAGTTCCAAGGGCTGTAGAGCTTTCCTTCAGCTAGCAAATTACAGCACAAATTATTAACCTGATAAGTTCTTATCTGCTGAATGAAAAAAAAACAAACAGAAAACACTTTGGACTACAGTTGTGGTCCACTTCAGACTACAATTGCATCATTATCTAAGATGCACAGCATCATATTCCTCATTTTGAGAGGCTCAATACCACAGGACAAACACCAGCAATGTTCAAACTGGAATTTTGTCCATCAGTGTAAAATTAACACTTACCAAATACAAAGCAGGAAAATACAAGGAAACACTTACCAAACACCAGCAGTCGGGAGTTTTGCTGCAGGCAACAGGTCAGCTGTCGACTRAGCAACATTGACGCCATTTTATCTTTTCTTTACTGAAAAAGACTCAATCTTGAGAGATTTCTTTCTGGTTGATATTCTGGAAACAAAAAAAAAAAGAAAAGCAAACAATTATTCATGTCCCTGTAGATGCAACCACTGTTACTGTGCTATTCATTTCAATTTCCCTTTTCACTATTTTCCATCCAAAGACACCGAGAGCATGGTTTGATGGATTAGTGGTGACATTCAGAGCATCTCAGGACTGAACCCCACATCTGATGCTTGGCGTGGTCTTGGCTGAGGCAAATGCCTTCTCAACCAAAGCTGTATCTCCCAGCTTCAGGAGGGCCAGTAGTACAGGTCAGCACCTATTTTCTTTTGCTCTTCCTCTCTACTTTCTCTATATAAGTAAACTGCATTGAACTTTTCAGAAATTGTTTCCAGTTGGTCTCTAAAGCTAGAGCTGKTTTKTTTTTKTTTTTTTTTTTTTTTGTTTGAGCCAAGTTTATGAGAAAAATCTCATCTAATACAAAAGACAGCAGGACAAGCATTAAGAAATAAAAGAAAAGCCATCTCCTGAAAAACCAGTTTTTACCCATTAATCACAATTGTGTGAATTAGTGAGAGCTGGGAATATCCAGCCTGAAGAAGGCTCAGGTTGCACCCCATCAATGTGTAATAAATACCTGATGGGAAGGAATAAAGAATGAGACAGGGGCTTCTCAGTGTGTCCAGTGATGGGATAAGAGGCAAGGGCACAAACTGAGATACTCTGAGCTCCATCTAAACACAGAAAACCCTGGGCAGGTCACCCAGAGAGAGCATGGAGTGACYGTGCTTGGAGATACCCACGAATAGATAACCCAAATGGACAATGGACTACTTTAGGAGAGAGTGCTTGAGCAGGGGGCTGGGCCAGACACCTCTCAGCTCTCTCTCAATCCCAGCCATTCCATGTTTCTGGAATGGTTACACATAAATGACCTTGGGAAGTTGAGTAGCATGAACAATAACATGACTCCCTTTTCACTGCAGATCACTTGTGCAGAAAGCCCRGCTGGAAGTCAGGAATAGATAAAACAGGTCATTGAATGATTATCCAGGACACAGGTTAAATTCAAACTTCCAACTTAGCAGCATGGCCCCTTGTGTTCTGTGTAGGACACTGAAGCCCTTTGCCTGGCATTTACACCTCATTGGATGCAGACCATGTAGCAGCAGTGGACCGAGGCGTGCAGTCCAAACAAAATGTCACTATTATCCATAAACCTGGAAAAAATTCTATTTAACAAAGACAGTCAGAGTGGAGCTGATCTTCCAGCAGAAAGAGATCACAGCTTACATCAGTTTTATGCCATCAATAAAACATGCCAGCAGATGATCRTGACTGGATTCAGGGGAGTAGCCGAACTATTGCTACCATGACAGGTATCTCTTACCCAGTGTTAAAATATCATAAATTTAGTTTCTGTACTGTCTTTAGGCAAAATACTGTTTGTTCTCCTTCACACTTGAACTTTTTCAAAATACATAAAAGAAAACAAAACTGTCTTGCCTACAGAGATTTATAAATTCATAGACCTATTAAGACTCAGGAACAAAATCAATTCCCTGTACCTTCCCAGACAATTGACRCAGCTAAATTTCACTCAGTATGCTCGAAGTTCAAGTTAAAATTCAAGGTATTTTGCAATGTGCCTAGGTGAGCAAACTCCTGCACAATGCTTGCTCACTCATAAGTGCAAGATTAGCTTCCTAAGGTTTTGGGTCACAAGTGCAGAGGGAACTAGTTAATTTTGTTCTCAGAAAAGAGTAACTTCACCTAGAAGACAAGGTTAGTTTCATTCATTCATTATGTTATCTCTCTCAGCTTCTTTCTGTAGTTGTGCTAACTTTTGCCTAATCGATGTGTAAAAAAAATATCCCAACACCACAGATTTCTCATCTGAGGACCACCCTCTAACAAAACCTGAATGCCAGTCTAAAGTTAGTRAGAAAATGCCCAGCACCTCGACTGATATCTTCTGCTCAGAGCTGTTTATCTGGTCTATACTTCTCCAATCTCCAATCCCCTCCATAAGCTTGCTCTGCAAAGTATTACTTTTGAAGAGTAAAAGCTGAGGTGAACACAGCTCTACAGGAACTCACAAAAGGAGCAGTGCAAATGTGCTTAACAACCCACCAAGGTTCACTTCCTTGTTCTCATCCCCTTYAGTCATCTCCTGTGGGGGTTTTGCTGCCTAACTTTCCTTCTTCACAAGGGTGAGATGCCTCTTCACAYATAAATCAAACAAACCTTCCAGTCACACTCCACAGCTGTGCCCACCTGTGTCCAGGTTTCCCTTCCTCTTCCTTCCCCAAGTGAACCACAACTATGTCTGCTCACAGAATATTATTTTTTTCTGTTTATCTCGGATTGTTCAATAACTAAACTACAGTATTCATTAGAGGCTGAAAATATAATTGGAAATGATAYTGGCTTTCTGAACTACTTGTAGGAAAAAAAAATACTGCATGAGGTTTAAAAATAAAGTTTAGCCCTAATTTTCCTTGACAGTTCTTACATAAAAAGTTTTACCATTTTCTAGTCCAGAGTCAGAAYAAATCATGTAATATCACATGTGAGTATAACTAAACCCAACGTCTTTTCCATCTCCATTATGCACACAGGCTCTCACAGGAGATCAGYTGATGATTGGTATCTCAGTCTAAGCACGCATTATTTGGTTATCACAATAAGCAATTTGAATTTGGCCTCCCTAACCCATCTCCTGATCGATTCCCAGCCTGTTCCAGCACTGCAAGCAGCAGCAGCAGCAGCACAGTTTGCAAGCCAGCAGAAATCAGCCCTCTGCACATGTCAGAGCCGCAGCAATGCCACGCTCCATCACCGCTGCTGCTCCGGAGCCACTGCGGCCAGCTCCAAACTCCTTAACTGCAGTAAAACACAGCCACCAATTTCAGATATCTGACAGGAAAGGTGATGGGAAGGACCTCAGACCCTGAAGGGATGAGACCCTTCTAGAAAAAGCCTTCCCTAAACATTTTTCCTCTACTGGCAGCTGTGTKAGCTGGAGAAGGCCATTGGTGCAGATGACTCTAGAGAGCTGCTATTCTGAAGTGAATGCTCAGTACCTTAATCTTCCAAATGCATTTGCATAATTTTGTATATAATTCTGCATTACATAAACTGTGTTTGCCACTGCATGGGTCTAAGTCACAGCCACATTCTTCTAGTAAGAAAAATTATTTTGGAAGAGGAAGCTCAGTCCTGTTTATCAAGCACACAAAACATAAGGATATGTGGATTTTTTAAATGCATGCTGTGAAATTGGATGCTTTTCTTTAAAACAGCAGCTGCTAAATTTCTGTACCAAGTGATTATTTCCGACAGATAAAACTAGTTACTAGGGACAACAACAGTCATTCTGCAGCAGCACAGAAGCATAGTGAACATAGAAAGATGCATTGTTTCCATGAACAAACATGTTTCTTGGGGGGGTAAACCCTGGAAAAAAAAATTTAAATGGGGGGGGTCTTGATCCAGATATAAGAGTGAAAATATACAAGCTAGGAGTTCATGCAGCAAGCAATCTCWCTCCCTAGCAGAGAAGCTAATGCAGCATGACATCTGTGTGCCAGGCTGCAGCTCACAGAAAACATCCAGGCTGCCCTGGAGAACATCCTCTGGGGAGTGCAAAGGTAAAGGCAAACTGAGACCCGGCTGGATGGGAGGGCAAGTCAGCTCTTGAAATTTGCATCTCTTTCTTGCAACTCCTGCCAAAGACAGAGAAACCTGTTTGAAATTCATGGGGGCACATTCATCTGTCCCTCAGCTGCTCCAAACACATTTAACCAGGAACAATTAAGTGGTTTAGAAACAGCAGCACAAGCTGCACTGGGCAATTACTTCACAAGGCTTCCAAAAAGTGGATTTGGGGAGCTGGGGAGCAGGCACCTAAAGGCAAATTAATTCTTTTTTTTTTTACTGTTTTCCTTACTTGACTTTTCTAGGCTGCACAGCAAGGTATGTATAATTATGCTAAGTGTTAATTATTGTGAAATTTAAAGCATCTCTATCTCCTAGTCCTGTGTGCTTTGATGTGAACCCAGCCCAAAGCTCACTCGTGCTGTGCAGGGGMTGCTGGTGGCTGCTGCAGCAGTCCCTGTCCCTCTCTCAGAGTCTTTGGCAGCAGCAGCACCGTGCCTGAATGCCARCCCTCCCTTCCCACAGCCAGCCTGCCCTGCATCCCCCAGGTGAGCTGGCACACTCAGGTTGCAAGGAGGGTGCCCCTCCAAGAGGCAAAAAGGCTCTTCATTCCACAGCTCAGCACACTCTGACACTGCACTCTGTGCATCTTTTAACAGTGGAAGGAATTGCAAATAGAGAGACCAAACCAGCTGTGGTTTTTGTCACTAAAAAGGACCATATTGAGAAATCAGGCAGGACTCAGGTCCGTCCTGGAGTTGYTGAAGGGGCACAAGGCTCCTGGCTTGGAGTGTTCATGAACAAGCATCTTTAATGATGGTGATGCAGCTCAAGTATTTTACTCCTGTAAACAGCTCAAGGAGATCCCAGAGTCTGGAACAATTTCACAAAGAAATGGAAGTATGGCCAAGGTGGAAGACAGTCGAGGCTGCCATCCATTAAATATAATCATATCCTTCCTTAGGCTGCATTTGAGGAAGAATCAGCAATTTAAGGCCATCATGGTATCTGCCTAAAAAGATCAAGTATGTTACAGCACCCACTGTAGGAAAATCCACAGCCTCACCCACCTTTGGGSAGACAGGGATTGTCCACATCCAGCAGGAAAACAGGAAACAACTGAATGAGTTCACCGTTATTGACAGAGCACAGGGTGACATCAGAAATCCTGACTTGCTGCTTTAGCCACTCAAATGTAGTAAACAACAATGTAAATAAAGAGGCCTGGCAGCATGTTGATGTATTTATCTGCAGTTCACTGGGTCCCAGRAGCAGAGTTAAGAGTTCAGTATAGACTATGCATTTATGAAAGCATGAGTGCAYACAACCAAATACAACAGGTCCTCTTACTTCAACAGGGCTTTTTTCCCCAAAGTATGTCTGAAACT